AATAATCAGCATAATTAACGAAACCTATCAGGAATCGGACTCAGGAATTTCTACCTGTGTGTAGTTTACCATTAGTCTTTTAGCTGCACGCTTTTAGTTGCCTTTGATAACTATTCTCGAATCCTTAATTAATAACATTCCTATCAATAATTATCTTTACTATATTCTATATTTCCCACAACTCGGATACGTAAAAAAAATTTGCAACCACAGCTTTTGTTGATTTTGTACTATCGATAATCATGTTACGAAATAATATCATGCTAATCATCAATAATATCACATTACAATATCACGTTACAAAATAATATCACGCTAATCATCAATAATATGCTACGAAAAGAAGTCACGAAGTAAGAAGTAGGAAAGTCAATAGGTAAATGTATTAATTTTTCTTCTTGTTTGAGAAATCCTCCTATGGATTTCTCAGAAGGCAGTGATCACTGAGAGTATTTGCTTGTAAATCTCTCTATCAAAATATTTGTCATTCGGAATCGGCGTTAATTAGTAGCTTCCTATATACCTTGTGTATAATCTGCGTGCGCACTAATAACAAGCATATCAGAGAGGTCAGAAGTAACAACTGCTTGGGTTCTCCATAAATATTTGAAAAATATCATCGTACGGTTGAAAATATTGTGTAACCTTATAAAAAAAAAAATCTATTTCTTTTTATATAACACTTGTTTTGTTTATAACAGGGTGTCTAATAATTCTCGGACTATCATGAGAAGACAGAGAAAGTTACGTTGAATAAAAGAGTCTTCTATTTTACAAATTATTAACGAGTTATTAATTAATAAATTAAGATCTGTGAATGAATGTATACTCGCTTGAAAATGACAATTCAATTTTAATGATTTTTAAGCACCTAATAAAGCATGTTCTGTATAAACAATAATAATAACCGCAAATAATCGTGTAGCGCTAATATGCTAATGTTTCTTTTGGCCGAATCATACAGATGTATGCTCCTTCGCCGATCTTTATAAATTAATATTTGATTTGAATTATTGCGAAAATTGCGAAATAATAGACTTTTCTATTTAGTTTAACTTTCCATCTACTCAGAGATCATGTCAGTTATTATTAGACACCCTATAATATTATAATAATGACAT